GCAGCCCTCCCAGGTGCAGCCCCCCAGGCAAGTATGAGTGCGAGTGGCAGGGTGACGGTGGGCAGGCCCACACGGCTCTAGGGAATGGACATGGGGTCGCCAGGGGTGCCTGGTGGCATGTGAGGACACAAGAATAGATGAGGGAGGCAGTGGCAGTGAGCACATGGTAGGAGCTTGAAGCAACGATACAACGCCCTTGTGAGAAGATTTAGGGCGGATGTGAAGGGGACCAAGGCCCCACGTGCCGCCTTGCACCTTGATGGAAGGGCGAAGGGAAGCCCGTGGCAGCAGGGGCAATAAAGGCATCCGCGCTAGCATGCCCCAGATGCTGCTGCAAGGAAAGAGGCCTTGGCTGCTGCCGCCTCCTCTGCTGTCACGCCCCTGCCAGCCACGACCAGCTCCATGAGCTGGCGGGTGGGGGAGAGAGAGATAGTTGGAATCACGATACAAGCGAGGGAAAAGGAACAGTGTGCTAACGAAAATCTCAATCTTCACTGCTGCTCCATGAGCTGGCAAGGGGGGAGAGAGGGAGAGGTGGAATCACAATACATGGGAGGACAGAGAGGTACAGGAGCTGAATCTCATGCGAGATGGCAAGGGTGCACTCGAACCACTCAATTTCCGCTGCTGCTCCATGTGTGGCCAGTCGGTGGTGCGAGGGCTTGAAGCCCACCGTGGCAGCAAAGGCCGCCGGGCGAGCGATGGAGGCACATGTCAGAGACGCTGGTAGGCCTCCTTTCTCGCCCTCCAAGCCCATCCAAGCCCATCCAAGTCCATCCAAGCCCGGTAGGCCTCCTCTCTCACCCCGTACTCAATAGCCCCGCAACCCTCCTCTCTCGCCCCGCATGCCTCCTCTCTCGCCCCGTAGGCCTCCTCCCTCGCCCCGTAGGCCTCCTCTTTTGCTCGGTAGGCCTTCTCCCTCGAATGGTAGGCCTCCTCTCTCGCCCGGTAGGCCCCCACTCTCGCCCGGTAGGCCCCCTCTCTCGCCCGGTAGGCCCACTCTCTCAACCGGTAGGCATCCTCTCTTGCCTGGTACGCGTCCTCTCTTGCCTGGTACACCTCCTCTCTCGCCAGTTATGCCACTTATCTCGCCCGGTATGCCTCCTCTCTCGCCCGTTAGGCCTCCTCTCTCGCCCGGTAGGCCTTCTCTCTCGCCCCGTAGGCCTCCTCTCATGCCCAGTAGGAATCCTCTCATGCCCAGTAGGCCTCCTGTCTCGCCTGGTAGGCCCCCTATCTCCCCCCGAAGGCCTCCTATCTCGCCTGGTATGCCTCTTCTCTCGGCCGGTACGCCTCCTATCTCGCCCAGTACTCCTCTTTTCTCGCCCGGTACGCCTCTTCTCTCGCCCGGCACGCCTCCTCTCTCGCCCGGTAGGCCTCCTCTCTCCCTCGGTAGGCCTCCTCTCTCGCTCGGTAACCCTCCTCTCTCGCCCGGTAGGCCTCGTCCAGTAGGCCTCCTCTCTCGTCCAGTAGGCCTCCTCTCTCGCCCGATAGCCCTCCTCTCTCTCCCGGTAGGCATCCTCTCTCACCCGGTAGGCTGCCTCTCTCGCCCGGTAGGCCTCCTCTCGCAACCGGTATGCCTCCTCTCTCGCTCGGTAGGCCTCCTCTCTTGCTCTGTAGGCCTCCTCTCTCGCCCGGTAGGCCTCTCCTCTCGCCCGGTAGGCCTCCTCTCTCGCCCGGTACGCCTCCTCTCTCGCCCGTTAGGCCTCCTCTCTTGCCCGGTAGGCCGCCTCTCTCGCCCGGTAGGCCTCCTCTCATGCCCCGTGTGCCTCCTCTCTCGCCTGGTACGCCTCCTCTCTCACCCGGTACGCCTCCTCTCTCGCCGGTAGGCCTTATTTCTCGCCCGGTAGGCCTCCTTTCTCGCCCGGGATGGCCTCCTCTCTCTTCCGGTAGGCCTCCTCTCTCACCCGGTAGGCCGCCTCTCGTGTCCGATAGGCTGCCTCTCTCGCTCGGGATGCCTCCTCTCTCGCCCGGTAGGCCTCCTCTCTCGCCCGGTAGGCCTCCTCTCTCGGCCAGTAGGCCTCCTCTCTCGTCCGGTAGACCTCCTCTCTCGCCCAGTAGGCCTCCTCTCTCGCCCGGTACGCCTCCTCTCTCATCCGGTAGGCCTCCTTTTCTCGCCCGGTAGGCCTCCTCTCTCGCCCGGTAGGCCTCCTCTCTCGCCCTGTAGGCCTGCTCTCTCGCCCGGTAGAAATCCTCTCACGCCCGATAGGCCTCCTCTCTCGTCCGGTAGGCCTCCTCTCTCCCCCGGTATGCCTCCTCTCTCGGCCGGTATGCCTCCTCGCTCGCCCGGTATGCCTCCTCTCTCGCCTGGTAGGCCTCTGCACTCCCTCACTAGGCCTCCTCTCTTGCCCGGTACGCCTCCTCTCTCGCCCGGTAGGCCGCCTCTCTCGTCCGGTTGGCCTCCTCTCTCACCCGGTAGGCCACCTCTCTCGCGCGATAGGCCGCCTCTCTCGCTCGGTAGCCCTCCTCTCTCGCCCGGTAGGCCTCCACTCTCGTCGGGTACGCCTCCGTCTCTCGCTCGGTACGCCTCCTCTCTTGCCCGGTAGGCCTCCTCTCTCGCCCGGTAGGCCTCTTCTCTCGCTCGGTAGGCCTCCTCTCTCGCGCGGTAGGGCTCGTCTCTCGCCCGGTAGGCCTTCTCTCCCGCCCGGTACGCCTCCTCTCTCGCTCGGTACGCCTCCTCTCTCGCCCGGTACGCCTTCTCTCTCGCTTGGTAGGCCTCCTCTCTTGCCTGGTAGGCCTCCTCTCTAGCCCCGTAGGCCTCCTCTCAAGCCCGGTAGGAATCCATTCACCCCGGGTAGGCCTCTTCTTTCGCCTGGTAGGCTCTCTCTATCCCCTGGTAGGCCTCCTCTCTCGCCCGGTATGCCTCCTCTCTCACCCGGTACGCCTCATATCTCGCCTGGTACACCTCCTCTCTAGCCCGGTACGCCTCCTCTCTCCCTCGGTAGGCCTCCTCTCTCGCTCGCTACGCCTCCTCTCTTGCCCGGTAGGCCTCCTATCTCGCCTGGTAGGCCTCCTCTCTCGCCCGGTAGGCCTCCTCTCTCGCCTGGTATGCCTCCTCTCCTGCTTGGTAGGCCTCCTCTCTCCCCCGGTAGGCCTCCTCTCTTGCCCGGTAGCCCTCGTCTCTCATTTTGTAGGACACCTCTCACGCCCAGTAGGGATCCTCTCATGCCCGGTAGGCCTCCTCTCTTGCCCGGTAGGCCCCCTCTCTCCTCCGGTAGGTCTCCTCTGTCGCCCGGTATGCCTCCACTCTCGGCCGGTACGCCTCCAATCTCGCTCGGTATGCCTGCTCTCTTGCCCAGTAGGCCTCCTCTCTCCCTCAGTAGGCCCCCTCTATCGCCCGGTACGCCTCCCTTCTTGCCCGGTACGCCTCCTCTCTCGTCCGGTAGGCCTCCCCTCTCACCCAGTAGGCCGCCATTCTTACCTGGTAGGCCGCCTCTCTCGCCCGGTAGGCCGCCTCTCTTGCCCGGTTGGCCTCCACTCTTGCCTGGTAGGCCTCCTCTCTCCATCGGTAGGCCTCCTCTCTTACCCGGTACGCCTCCTCTCTCGCCCGGTAGGCCTCCTCTCTCGTCCGGTAGGCCTCCTCTCTCACCCGGTAGGCCGTCTCTCTCGCTCGATAGGCCGCCTCTCTCGCCCAGTAGGCCTCCTCTCTCGCGCGGTAGGCCTCCTCTCTCGCCCGGTAGGCCTCCTCTCTCGCCCGGTACGCCTCCTCTCTCGCCCGGTAGGCCTCCTCTCTCGCCCGGTAGGCCTCCTTTCTCGCCTGGTAGGCCTCCTCTCTCGCCAGGTACTGTAGGTCTCTCCTCTCTCCCAGTAGGCCTCCTCTCTCGCCCGATACGCCTCTTCTCTTGCCTGGTATGCCTCTTCTCTCGCCCGGTAGGCCTCTCCTCTCGCTCGGTAGGCTCGCCTAGCAGGCCTCCTCTCTCGGCCAGTAGGCCTCCTCTCTCGCCCGGTAGGCCTCCTCTCGCCCGGTACGCCTCCTCTCTCGTCCGGTAGGCCTCCTCTCTCGCCCGGTAGGCCTCCTCTCTCGCCCGGTAGGCCTCCTCTCTCGCCCTGTAGGCCTGCTCTCACGCCCGGTAGAAATCCTCTCATGCCTGGTAGGCCTCCTCTCTCGTCCGGTAGGCCCCCTCTCTCCCCTGGTAGGCCTCCTCTCTCGCCCGGTATGCCTCTTCTCTCGGCCGGTATGCCTCCTATCTCGACCAGTACGCCTCCTCTCTCACCCGGTATGCCTCCTCTCTTGCCTGGTAGGCCTCCTCTCTCCCTCGCTAGGCCTCCTCTATTGCCCGGTAGGCCTCCTCTCTCGCCCGGTAGGCCTCCTCTCGCGTCAGATAGGCCTCCTCTCTCACCCGGAAGGCCACCTCTCTCGCCCGATAAGCCGCCTTTCTCGCCCGGTAGCCCTCCTCTCTCACCTGGTGCGCCTCCTCTCTCGCCCGGTACACCTCCTCTCTTGCCCGGTAGGCCTCCTCTCGCGCCCGGTATGCCTCCTCTCTCGCCCGTTTGGCCTCCTCTCTCGCTCCGTAGGCCTCCTCTCTCACCCGGTAGGCCTTCTCTCTCGCCCGGTACGCCTCCTCTCTCGCGCGGTAGGCCTCCTCTCTCCCGGTAGGCCTCCTCTCTCGCCCGGTAGGAATCCATTCACCCCCGGTAGGCCTCCTCTCTCGCCCGGTAGGCCCCCTCTATGCCCCGGTACGCCTCCTCTCTCGCCCGGTATGCCTCCCTTAGCCGGTACGCCTCCTATCTCTTCCCCTGGAATCCAGGTCGATTTTCAAGTTGGGACCAGGTTTGCTTCTCGAGTGTCACGGAGGGATCGGGGCCTTGCCACTCCTTGCCACTGTACGACAAGCCATATCGTCGCCACGCCAATTCGATAATTTCGATGCACAAACTGCTTCCTAATCTATTTCAAACATAGCGTGCTGCCCCCCCCCAAAAAAAACCCCATCACTTTGTTCAAACCAAGCCCATCCTCATTTTCAAGCTGGGCCCAACTTGAATGGGGTTTGCTATTTTAGCCTTGGGCTTTAACTACCGTATTCCCCCGGATATACGCCCCTAGGTGCTTATAGGGATTATAGTCAAAATTTTGGGGGTGCGTTTAATTGGATTTTTTTGATATGGCACGGTGCGTTAAAAACGTTCTTAAGGAAACTTTTGAAACGAACATGAACATGTAGCTAGAACAATTTGCAATCGATTGGAATGCTCCCAAACGGGAACAACCAGAGAAGTCCCGCCAAAATCGCTTCCTAGACGACTGACGCGTCAGCCAAGCAGCACGTTCGCTGCAGTTTGCCAGCGTGCAGGCTAGCGTGGGCGATCCTGGCCATCCGTTCTCTCATCTGACATGGCAGCAGAGCTTTGCTGACCATACCTTCGATGAGTCGGAAGGTCAGGGGTCGATTTTGTGTGATGAAGTGATTCCTCACGTAAACTTGATGCGAAATGTACAGTCAACATAGTCAGTGCGAGATTCCGACGGGGAAAAGGGGGGTGCGTATAGGGATTAGAATCTGGAAAATGGGGGGGTGCGTATCATTGGCACATCCGATATGGCACCCCTCCGGATATACGCACCATGGTGCGTTTTAGCTGGCGGTGCGTATATCCGGGGGAATACGGTACCTGCATGGGTTAGCAACATTCGCATGCACAGCAATGAAACGCTCAAGCTCCATTGCAACATCCATAAGCATTTCATCTTCGTTCCACATCCCAGCAAGTGTGACTCCCAGTGGAAGAGTCTCCTCCATGCACTCGGTGCGATCACGAGCGCGTCCCTTGTGCGTGCCAGCATCAGCACTCCCAGGTGCAGTCCCCGTGGCAGGTGCGAGTGCGAGTGGCAGGGTGACTGTGGGCAGGCCCGCATGGCTCCAGGGGATGGACATGATGGGGTCGCCAGTGGTGCCTGGTGGGGAAGGGGGGACAAATGATCCCGGAGGGAATGGCAGAGAGCACATACTGGGAGCGCAGAGCAACAATGATACGCCCATCTCGGAAGAGCAAGGGTGGGTGTGAGGGGTATGAAACCCTATTGTCTCGCACCTTGATGGAAGGGCGGGGGGAAGCCGGTGGCTGCCGGGACAATGAAGGCGTCAGCACCAGCATGCCTGAGCTGCTGCTGCAGCCCGTGGCGCAGCGCCAGGCAAGAGGCCTTGGCTGCTGCTACCTCCTCTGCTGTCACATCCCTGCCAGCCAAGATCAACTCCATGAGCTGGGGGGGGGGGGGAGGGAGAGGGAGAGTTGGAATCACAAGACAATATGGGAGGACAGATAGGAAACGAGTGGAAACTCATCGCGAGCTGACAAGGGCACCCTCGAAACACACAATTTCCGCTGCTGCTCCATCTTCAACTGGTGCCTCAGGAAAGTCCACAAGGCACAACATTCAAGCATGTGGTTGACAGAGATGCGCTGGGCATGTTTGGCAGTGGTGCTGTGCGGTGTGCTTACAGACGGGGAGACGAGGGAGGGCAGGTCAGGCAGGCTGAGGGAGTCGAGGAAGTGGGCATACTCAAATGCCATGAGAGCCACGTGGGACCTGCGATGGTGGTGGTGTCGACGGTGAGGAGCGAGGGCACCTTCTAGTTCGGCCTGGCCTTGTACCTGATAACTGGTATGACGGGATGTCATAAAATAAGGTTTACTGCCACAGCTAGGCACACATGTTTAGGATGGGTTGGTTCAGCATGGCATGCATGCGTGGCATGGCATGGCATGCATGGCATGGCATGGCACGGCATGGCAATGGTCAAACCGACTCTTTGATTCGCTGCAAGTCATGCAGGCAGGGCAGCGACACCACCCGCCATGCCCTGCCATCATAGCACACCAGGAAAACAGGAGGGGGGGAGGGGAAAGGGAGGAGGGATTGGATAAGCTGGGGATGGAGAGTGGGAGATGGGGAGGAGGGATGGGAGGAGTGCGAGCAAGGATGGATGCACACAAGTGACAGGAGATGGTGGTGGTGGTGGTGACACGGATGATGATGAGGGCACCAATAATGGCATCATGGTGGTAAAAAGCGATGGAGATGCAGCTAGGCGAACTGAAACCAGCTCATTGTTTCCAAACTACCCAGTTGCTCGGGCTCTCTTTAGCGCCCACCTGCTCGTCCTCATCCATGTCAGCAGCTGCTGAAACCCCTCGCGTGCTGCCCCCTCCTCACACTGCTCCACCAGCGGACCATCAGGGATTGCCACGCAGAGGGGGGCTGGCGGGATGGTGAGGGGGAAGAAGGATGAGAAGGGAGATGGGAGGAAAATAGAATGAACGAAGGACCGGAGAGCTTTGGACCGGAGAGCTTTGGACCGGAGAGCTTTGGACCGGAGAGCTTTGGACCGGAGTGCTTTGGACCGGAGTACTGTGGACTGGAGTGCTTTAGACCGGAATGCTTTGGACCGGAGTGCTTCCGACCAGAGTGCTTTGGACCGGAGTGCTTTGGAGCGGCGCATGGTGAGTAGTAGTGTTGACGGTGGTCCTGGTGGCGGTGGTCCTGGTGGCGGTGGTCCTGGTGGCTGTGGTCCTGGTGGCGGTGGTCCTGGTGGCGGTGGTCCTGGTGGCGGTGGTCCTGGTGGCGGTGGTCCTGGTGGCAGTGGTCCTGGTGGCGGTGGTCCTGGTGGCGGTGGTCCTGGTTGCGGTGGTCATGCTTGCAATTGTGTTGCATGGCAGAGGAGACGGAGCAGCCTGGATACTTACCCTGTGCCGCGGCACAAGGGGTTGATTGCCAGCCGGGCAGCACGGCTTGAGCCCAGAGGGCTGCCCAGCGCACCGAGGCAGCGATCACACCGAACTGGTCCAACGAGGGGGAGGGCTGCAGGGAGGAATGAGGTGCAGTGGAAGGATGGAAGGGTGCAGTGCAGGGGAGAGACACCTGCGCTGTGATCATCCCTCTGGACCGTGGAAGGATGAAGGGTTGAGCAATATGAGAACGTGTCATCCAAGGTGGAGCGTGGAACCGCCCACGGCACGGTCGATCCAAACATGAAGTGCGTTGCAGCCATGCGTTGCAGCCATGCGTGCAAGACGTCCCTCTCCTCTCAAATTGCAGCATGCACGCAGGGAAGAAGCGACTCAAAAGTCATGCACGCAGGGAAGAAGCGAGAGGAGGGGAGGGGACTACTGACTGAAACGCATCCGTGGGCGAGCAGTCGGCGGTGCGAGGGCTTAAAGCCCACGGTGGCTGTGAATGCAGCTGGACGAGAGATGGACGCACACGTCTGAGACGCTGCAGGGGGTCAGGGAGTGCAGACGGCAGCAGAGCGAGCGCGGGGGGGTAAAGCCATGCTCGCAGAGGGGGATGATGGTGAGGATGAGGGGAAGGCGACGAGCGGGGGTGTGACCAAGGAGGGGGGTGCAGAAGAGGAGAGAAATAAAAGGGGGAGAGATTGAAGGGGCAGAGAGGCAAGGTAGAGACGAACCGAGAGCCAGCGGACAGATGCCTGCTGCCACCACGGCTGCTGATCCGCTGCTGGAGCCGCCAGGCGTGACGCACTGCACGGGGGGAGGTGATGAGCGGGAGGGTGAAGGGCAGCTGCAAAGTGTGTGAGCCCCTCACCCAAGGGTCTTAAGCCCGCATCCATGTGTCTGCGCCCCTTAACCAAGTGTCGAAGCCCCTTACTCAAGTGTCTAAGCTACTTGCCCAAGTGTCTAACCAAGTGTCCGGACCCTTTATCCAAGTGTCTGAGCCCCTTGCTCAAGTGCCTGAGCCCCTTAACCAAGTGTCTGAGCCCCTTAACCCGGTGCCTGAGCCCCTTAACCATGTGTCTCCACTCAGGGTGGCGGAAAACCACCGGAAACCAATGGGAAACCACTGGGAAACCGCTGGGAAACCACAGGTTCAAGGGAAGTCAGAGGTGGAGGGCAGCAGCGGAAGATCTCATGAAATCCCCGCTATCTGTAATTCAGGGCACTTCTTCGCGACTAAGATGGTCAATTACGTTTTTCAAGTCACGTACACGTAAAATTACGTGTAAATTTACGTTTACGTTTTTACGTGTAATTTACGCCGGGCAGATGATATAAAAATATTCAAAAGATGTTATATTATAAAAAAAACAAAAAAAAGCCACAGCGAGCACTTGTGCTTATACCAGGGGGGGGGGAAACCAGCAGTTGAATGGCAGACGCAAACGGATTTTGCAAGGGAATGGGGAATGGTAGCTCGACAAGCATAGAGTGGGAGTTGCTGGGGAAAATGGATGCGGGCGATGGGAAGGGGAGGTGTTAAAAAGAAGGGGTTGACTTCTTTTTTTGTGTCATTCTGTTAAGTCACCAACCCTTCTCAACATCATCGTGTCGTCGCACCTGCGACACATTTGACTTGGTCGGTAAGTGACATGCCGACCAATTCCCTTGCAGCACGCAACCGACACTTGCAAATTCTGACCAATCGGATCGGGAGTCCACCAGAAACGGTAGTTTCTGGTGTGACAAACTTATTTAGATGTCTGGTAAAATGAGTGGAAAGCCATCTCTATACAAAGGGCACTCTTGGGCAGCTTAAAAAATAAAACTCTGCCCGGAAACGTAAGCTGGTTTCAAAAAAATCGTAAACGAAATGCAACGTAAACCGACGTACACGTAAACGTAAAGTCCATCTTAGCTTCGCGATGGGAGGCGAAGCAGGAGCAGCTGACTTTTAACAGGAGCATTATCTTCAGGGGAGCAGCGCTTTCCGGAATCAGTCAGTAAGCAGCAGAAAAGCTACGTGGGGTACGATTGCAGACCTAACTCAGAAGCAGGCTGACGGGAGCAGGTCTCTAAAACACCACGCGACACTGACGCCGCGGCGACAATGGTGCTGAAAGCTTTCGATGTGGCGCCAGCGCGCTGGAAACAGCGACAAGCATTCTCAAGCATACAGCAGTGGTACAGAACCGTAATCACAGAGATGATGGTTTCAACTGCTGGAGAATAGATAGAGTGGAGGACGAGCAGCTGGTTGGCAGTCTAGTGTTCCCCGATGACCGCCTCACTGTACCTACGGTTGGCTCCCCAGGGAGGGCAAGATTATCGCTCAAGGGCATACTGAGCATACCGAGCATACCGAGCCAGCATACCGAGCATACCGAGCATACCAAGCCAGCATACCGAGCATACCGAGCATACGGAGCATACGGAGCATACCGAGCCAGCATGCCGAGCATACCGAGCATACCGAGCCACCATACCGAGAATACCAGGCATACCGAGCGTACCGAGCCAGCATACCGAGCATACCAAGCCAGCATACGGAGCATACCAAGCCAGCATACGGAGCATACCAAGCCAGCATACGGAGCATACCAAGCCAGCATACCGAGCATACCAAGCCAGCATACAGAGCATACCAAGCCAGCATACAGAGCATACCAAGCCAGCATACCGAGCATACCAAGCCAGCATACAGAGCATACCAAGCCAGCATACCGAGCATACCAAGCAAGCATACCGAGCATACCAAGCCAGCATACCGAGCCAGCATACCGAGCCAGCATACCGAGCATACCAAGCCAGCATACCGAGCATACCAGGCATACCAAGCATACCGAGCATACCAAGCCAGCATACCGAGCATACCAGGCATACCAAGCATACCGAGCAGACCAAGCATACCAAGCCCAGTCACCAGGCTGTGACACCGGGCTGTGGTGGTGGGAAACCACTCAGGTTGGTGGGCAACCACTCGAAAGCCGCTCAGGGTAGTGGGAAACCACTCGGAAACCGCTCAGGGTGGTGGGAAACCACTCGGACACCGCTCGGGGTAGTGGGAAACCACTCGGAAACCGCTCAGGGTGGTGGAAAACCACTCGGAAACCGCTCAGGGTGGTGGGAACCCACTCGGAAACCACCACTCGGAAACCACTAGGAAACCGCTCGGATGGTGGGAAACCACCGGCTACTGTTCCATGTGGAAGGTGACTCACTGGAGCGAGAGGGTTGCGCGTGCGAGAAGGGTGGCGGTACGCAAACTCCGTCATGGCGGCCTTGCCCTGGACGATGAGTAACAAGGGACGACGGACGGGGAGGGAAGGTGGGAGAGAATTGGGATGGAAGTAGTTGTATAGATGCATGTATATAGCCTCCCAAAAAACATGCACCAAGACACGGTACAGTACGCAAGGATTACAGGAACAGTATACGGCCAAGGAGAACTGCTAGACTGTGCGAGACTGTATAGAGATACATGCACAAATCTGCAATATGCGAGGACGAGAGCAGGAAGGGATGTGAAGAACATTGGAATGTCACATATCTGGGTGTGAACATACCAGGACGATAGCACCAGCAGACCTCAACCGTTGGATGATCTGCAATCAGAAGCAGATGGACGGAGACCCCCAGGGAAACAGTGAGCAGCGCCATAGCCAAAATCAATCAGCCAGAATTCCTCACATCTCTATTCTAGCTATTCTATAAGTCCTTTCAGAAGCTCGCCTCCCGTCCCGCACCTTCCCCCACGCACCTCGCCCTCTTTCATCCACAGCACCGAGTCCAGCGCAGGGAAGCCCAGCAGCGCGCCTGCCTGCGTGGAGAAGCCGTCCACGTGGACCAGATCCTGCTTGGGGGAGGGGGGGGGAGGAGGGGGGGGCAGGGAGGTTGTAGTATCCAATCTAGATGCTGCAGCGGCAATAATTTGCGCCGAGCGCAAATGCTGCTCGCCTCTTCAAGGAGCTAAGCCGGGTTTCAGGAGCCACACAGATCAACCCCAGGTATGCTCCGTTTCTTGAATATGTGCTGAGTGCACCCAGGGGTCGCACCGTTCACCGCACCTTGACTGCCACGGGCACGCCCAGCAGCAGCGGAACTTCTGCCGTGCGGCCTCCGTCTCTGATGCTCGTCCTCCTCCCATTAGGCCCATTAGGCCCTCTGCCCTCGCCTCGTCCTCCTGCCCGCTGCCATCGTTATCCTCGTTGCCTGCTTCCACCCGGCCGCAACCAGCCTGCCCCCCCTCTCGCACCTCCTCCTCTGCTGCACCTGCCCTTGCCAGCGCGCCTTTGAGCTCGCCTAGCATTCGGCTGAGGAGGGGAGGGGCGGTGGAAGGGAAGGGCGAGGTGTAGGGAATAAGGGGAGGGAAGCGGTGTGCAGAATCCTTAGGTTCCGGCTAGGTCTGCCTGTCCCTCTGGCTGCCCAGCATGCATCAACTGAGGACATGCCATGTGGTGAGGACATGCCATGTGGTGAGGACATGCCATGTGGTGAGGACATGAAAGTACGCAAGTCCCCATTTTTTGCATCCCACGTATCTCAACAAGATGAACAACCCTCTCCTCTACATTCTACCAGCGCATTTGAGGTAGAACCTAAACCCGTCGCCTCTTTTCTTCCGTGCCGAGCCCCGGTTCCCACTGCTCACCTGCGCCTCGCATCCTCCGCCAGCAGCGCGCCGAGCCCCGGTTCCCACTGCTCCGCAGCGTCACACGCGCGATGCACCGCTGCCACGGCCGCGCGACGCACGCCGGACCAACCCGACCTCGCGAAAACCTCCTCGGGAGTATCCTGCCACGCTCGGCGCGCTTCTCGTAGCTGTCTCCAGGCTTCGGGGTTTCGCCCTAGGGTTTCACGCTCTTGCACGTGCTCCTTCTTTCCATCCACCCTCTGACGCGACGCTGCTGCGACAACGGCATCGCAGGCGTCATCAGATACGCAACTATATTGCATCCCGGGGAAACATGCATGGAAAGCAGAAGTGTGTCTAAAATGCTGCTCGCATTGACTTTTCTCAATAGCCCATGCGGCCGACAATCTGGAGGTCGAAGCTGGTCGAAAAAAGACGCTCGATGTACCCTGCAAGGTGAAGGTGAATGCCTCCATTACTCCTCGCAGGGGTTGCGCATTTCCTCGATTTCTTCTACGCGCGTATCTGTCAAACAATGCTTCCAGATGGGGAATTGTCAATTTGTCACACCTAGGAAGCGTCACCAAGACGAGGATTTGCCGTGACTCAGTAGTGCAATAGCCGATAACAAATTCTGCTGTTTCCAGAATTGAAAGGTGTAATAGTCTCTGGTGCTTGAGTGTATTCAGGCGAGATACCCGCCTTGCGATTGGATGGCAGAAACCAGCATCTTCGTCCATTTGTGAACCAACCGGCCTTCAGTCTGAGGGCAGGGGGGGCGCTGAGGACCTTCCAAATCTGACGCAATCCATCCACTCACGGCGGAGACCCAATCGCCGCGCCGGCTACCTCGCCTTCCACGTCAACCAGTGTGGTCCTCCACCTACGTGGCGAGTGCCTCTTGACCTCCTCCTCTTTCTCATCTCGCGACACATTACGTGCGAATATTCGAGCTTTTCGCAAACTCTTAATTGAAGTGGGGAACGCACAGACGAGTCTGGTAACTTTAGAGAAAGCATTGACCCCCTTCGCACAACTACGATTCATTTCCAGGGGTTCCCACCCAGTGCCACGGGTTTTGTCAGTCAGGCCAAAAAGAAGGCGGCAGAGCGGACTTGACCGGGAGGCACAAGAAACAAGGGTTTCATTTCAGCTCCTCAATGCTCCCCCTCACAGGCTGAAAGATAGCAGAGTTGGTCAGTTCAGTGGTTGTAGCATCTCCCAGCTCGAGAATCTCTGGGCCTCACCTTATGTCCGAGGAATATCCGCAATAGCATATTTCCGGAATTGCACGCGAAGCGTTATCAGCTTTTATCACCATCGCGTTAGTCTTCTTGATGTGCGGTGTGTCATCTGCAGAGCGGTCGTGTATGAAGGTTCGCTCATGGTTCAAAAGTCGTCAGCCGCCATGCTTGCAGCACGAGGTGCGGAACCTCAGTCTTGTAAGCAGTCGTTAGTTCGGGTAGGAGTAAAAGGCATGTTGCGAGGCACGTTATCCGACCGTAGGATGAAAGGCAGAAGGCCAGCTGGAGGAGTGAAGCAAAACGAGAAGCAGGATGGCAAGAAGAAGTCGAAGGCTGCACTCTCGCATGCGATGGCCCACAAGCCAGTAGAAACCAAGAAGTTGGCGTCAGCGCTGGCAGCGCATCTGCAGAGCCTGTACAAGGGAGAGGGAGTGCTGGTGGTAGAGGACGACAAGCGCATCATCTTCTACTGCACCCTTTGCGAGTATGTGATACTTCCTTCTCCCGGTTGTAATTTCCCTTTCCTTGGTCGCACTGACGCGTCTTATTCAGGCTTACAAGATTTGACGGCGGTCATTGGATGACTGTGTCTTCGCGTTTGACTGACTACTATTTCCTTTCGTCGAATGCAGGGTGTGGGCCTACCACGATGCGAGCCTGGTCGACCATTTACACGGAAAGAAACACAAGCGAAAACAGGGAGAAGCCACGCCGCTCACTTCACCGCCATCCAGCGTCACCGGAAGTCCGCCGTGGGAGAAAACCTCCAAGTTGACGCCACCGTGGAAGCTCGTTGGGGAAGGTGAGCCCACCGCTCGATCCGTGAGCGACGGCCACGTGCT